ATAATAATTAATTTAATAAAAATAAAAGATAAGAGACACAGCTAATTAAGATCTCAGAATAATTATAAAGATAGTAAAATTATACCGGCAGAATATCAAAAGTAGAACTAATCGCCTAAGTATATCTCAATACACTACAGGGACTGTACTATTCCTAGGCCTAATCACAATATGCGGATTGTTTACCAGCTATGTTATTTGAAATGATTACGTAATTCTTTATAAGCATAACGTAACCCACGGCCGAGCTGCGCAGCTCTGTATTCTATATAAATTGACCCTTTTTAATACTTAATATCTCAATAACTAGAAGCTATAATAGTATAAAACTTAAATATAGTATAGAATAATACTTAATCTTTATATATATAGTTAAAAAAAGTTTATATAAATAATAATATCTTTGGTATTAAATATTACACTGGCAATTTTGGTATTTTTGGTATTCTTTATTTATAGTATAAAAATAAAAGAATTAAAAATTAAAAAATTTATTTTTAGCTTTATTAAGTATATATTATATTATATATTGAATCCTTTATTCTTACTATCTTTAGTTGTTGAGATATTAAATATTAAAAAAAGATCAGTTTGTATGGAATACAGAGCTGCGCAGCTCGGCCGTGCGCGCAGCTCGGCCGTGGGTTACGTTAACTAAGCACAATTAGAATGACCTCCTTCCTTCCCCATCAACCACATTGTTTTCATGCAATGGATCAAAGTGAAAAACGAAAGTTTGAGCAGCCGACACCATACCCCGAATATGATGTCGACAATATTGACAAACGACGGAGGGTAGTCGGACCAACGTTACCTTTATCAAACCCAGCAGACGATGACAGCAGTGATGACGATGACATTGGTCCGAGTTTACCTCCTTCAGGTACTATGGAAACCGAAGTATTTAATGCCAATATACATAACAACACCTTGAAAGGGCTGTCGACTGAGCAAAGCCATGCTTGCGAGGATCGAAGTTATCGAGACGAGTGGATGCTACGGCCTCCAGAGTCAACTAGCAGGACTTCAAGCGTGGATCCGACTAGATTAAGAAGTCGAAAGTTTCAAAGTGCAAGATCAGTACCGAGTTCCCAACCAGGAGGAATAGATTCATCTTGGACGGAAACGCCAGAGGAAAAAATGAAACGTTTACAAGATAAAGTGATGGGTGTTAGCACACCTGGTACACACAATGATCAAGTAACTCGGCCTGCCAGAGTATCACAGGCCATGCAGGAGAGAATCCACAAGTACAACGTAAGTTAAGGCAAGCGCTGCAGTATATTGCTGGTCCATACTTACCAATTCCAGGATGCGAAACGGAAAGCTAATACATCTGGAACTGTATCACAACCTCTTGAGCAGTGTAAAAATGGCAATGAGGACGATCCTAGCAGTCGCCCCTTTGATAAGGAAAAGGATATGGCTATCTCCTCTAAGTTAACCAATTCCCAACGTCGGGAGATGATTAATAAGGCCGCTGACTTTGGCTCTCGATTCAGCAAGGGAAATTATCTATAACAATTAGATTTTGTACATAAGAAAATGTGTCGCTAGTCATACCCTAGTATCTCCTCGGAGGCTCCTCGGTATATTCTACTTTAGTTGGTGCTTCCCTGGAATTGATCAGGAACTAGTATCCAGGCAATATGTTGCATTCGATTATCGCAGCAAGATTGACTGACTGACTAAAAATTAACAGTTTGAAACTAATTAATAGTATCTCTGCGGTAATCTACAGCACAGTTCTACATTTTCTTGTATCTATTTACTATAGGTATTTGTAAGTAGGGGCTTATATAATAGTATGATAATATACAGAGATATATTCTAAAAGTACTCCAACTCATAAGCGCTTCGGTATTCCATATACAATATATCTATCAGTAAGCTGGCAGAGTACAGTAGACCAGCTATACTATGTATTGGTAGGCCTAAGGACCGCAAAGATCAAAGACCGGACTATATCAGACTATACTATAGTACAGTTCTGTTCTTAGATTCAAAGACTGTATATAGTTCTGATTTTTTAGAATTAAATTACTATAGTCTAATTCAATTCTATACTTTTTAAATAGTATAAATAGATCTAATTCTATAATATATATTAATTAAATATAGTATATTGAGATATACTTAGATAATTAGTTCTACTTTTAATATTCTATCAGTATAGTTTTACTATCTTTATAACTATTCTTAGATCTTAATTAGTAATACTAT